TGCAAGCTTTCTCTTGGAGCGCCAATATTCTGCTGACGGGTGAAACGCCGATGCTTGACTGGCAGAATAACGAACTGCCAGGTGGCGGCCTCCCCCTCGCAGGTGGCTGGAAAGGCCAGGTCGCCCAAGTTCGGGGCGACTGGCAATTCTTTTGCCAGGCGTTCTACTTTGCCCAATGGAATGTTGCCGATGTCATGTGTCCATTCTGCAGGGCGTCGAACGTCCATCGCGAAAGAGCATGGTATGACGTGGGCCCAGAAGCAGGGTGGAGAGAAACCGTTTGGTCCCACGAAGCATTTTTGGCCCATCTAGCCTCGCAAGGCCTTCCCGTGCCTGCTTTCTTTCAGCCAAGACATGGGGTCATCGGCCTCAGGCTGGAGAATGTGATGGTCGACGTCCTGCATACACTGGACTTGGGCATGACATGTCATGTTATCGGTGGCGTCCTTTTTGTATTCGCACGTGTGCGAACGAGTTTCGGCGGAGCCACGTACGAGCAGGGCGCTTCTCGATTGGCGTCATACTTGAAGCAATGGTACCAGCAGACAGGAAGCCACTCTCGCATCAAAGGTGTCTTGACCCTGGCCAGGCTTTCGCACCGATAAAGGTTGGGCGAAGTTGAAAGCACATGGCGCCGCTACCAGGCATCTGACGTCATTCGCATTGCACGTGCTGTCCCAATTTGCTAATTTTAACGACGCGCAATGGGGCCTGCACGATCGGTTGGCTTTTGCTGCGTGCCAGTTGCTCGACCGTTTTTTTTATGAGATAGTGAAAATAGAAAGCTTGTACATGAGTGGCGCTATACACGAGGAGCTGGAGACGTTGAGTGCACAGTTTACGTCGATGTATTGTAAGCTTTCGAACTGGAGTTTCTCAAAACATCTCAAGATCTGGAAATTAGCGCCCAAGCTACACCTTTTTTCGAGCACCTTGTGATGCAGTCGATGCAATTCGGGAATCCAGCCTACTGGTGGACATACGCGGATGAAGATCTGGTTGGGCGCTTGATAAGACTTTTTAACGCTTCGCGTATCCCCGCCAGCCCATCCAAAAACGATGCCCAGGCGAATTGCGGTGATAGGGGAGTGAGAAAACATACAGAGTAGCAAAGGGCTGGGGGACCCGTCCTACCCAAGAGGGCGAGGATGGAGGAGGAGCCGGAGGAGGGTGAGGAGGAGGAGGAGGAGGAGGAGGAGGAGGAGGAGGAGGAGGAGGAGGATGGGGGAGGAGGGGCAGCAGGTGGGACAAGTGGGAGGAGGGAGGAGGGGGAATAGGCGGATGATGGGGAGGAGGGGGGGGAGGAGGAGGATGAGGAGGGGGAGGGAGAGACGAGGAAAGGAGGAGGATGAGGCTGATAAAGTGGAGGAGAAGGAAGAGGAGTAGGCCGACAAGGAGGAGGAGGAGGAAAAGGAGAAATGTGAGAAGGAGCATGAACAATGACGTACACAAGAGCCTCCTAGGATGTCCTTTGGAAGTCGTCTTGGAGTCCTCTTGGAGCGCCTGGGGGATTCTTGGGTGCCTCGGGGATCCTCTCGAGGCCTCTTGGGGGTCTATGGGGGCCTCTTCAGGGCCTCTTGGGGACCTCTTGCGGCCTCCTGGGCGCCTCTTGAAGTCCTCTTGGGGCGCTCTTGGGAACCTTGGGAGCGCTCTTGGGGCCATCTTGGAAGTGATCGATCAAAGGAAGGGGGTCCCTCAATTAGCCCCCCCCGTCGGGAGCCTTTAAAATCGGCCAAAACCAGCATAAAACCGATGATGTTGGCTTCCTCGCCGAGGCCGCTTTGGACGCTCCAACTACCAGCGAAACCTCCCGTCCAGGCCCAGGGGAGAGGGTGAGGGGGAGGGGTAAACCCCTCCCCGAAGGGGAAGAAGGGAAGATGGAAGATGCAATTCCCTAAACCACCTACGCCCAGAGGGCTGGTGGGATTTCTCATGCTGTTCATCCGAATACAATCGCTGAGTCTACGTTGTGTAAATGGGCGCACTGTGTGTGTCGACGAGATGTTGTTGGATCTCGATGTGGACACCTGGAACTGAGGCATATCATCATCATCATCATCATCATGACTCATCACCATCACTGGGATCTCAGCAAGAGAAGCGAGTGGATTCGAACGGGGTACTAACTAGTTTTCTGAGAAAGACCAGTCGCGGCGACGAGAGCAACTGAAAACGACGTTTAAGAATGGCACGGGGAATTTTAAAGGCACATCCCTTATGAGTTCTTGAATGCCCGTATATTTTGAGCCCCCGTAAGACCTTATGGTTGTTGACGCTCGGGGACGGGGCCGGGGCCGGGACCGGGGCCGGGAGGGGGCCGGGACCGGGGCCGGGACCGGGACCGGGACGGGGGCGGGAACCGGGACCGGGACCGGGACCGGGACCGAGACCAGGTCCGGGACGCCGACGACGACGACGACCGCGACGACGACGACGCCGACGACGACGACGACGACGCCGCCGCCGACGACGCCGACGACGACGACGAGAGGCCCGGACAACTCACGCCAGGGGGTGAGTCGTTCGGGCCCCTCCTCCTCTTGCTCGTCGCCCCCCTTCTCCCACCAAAAAGCCAGCGACGATGACGACGACGACGACGACAACGACGATTTCCTCAGCCGCCCAGTGCGAGCGCCTGGCTCCTCGCGCGCGCGCGCGCCGAGCCCGCGCCTCAGACCGCTCATGGTAACCCCCGCTGCTGCGGAGGCCTCCTCAGCCGCGCCCCATCAGCAGGAGTCGCCTGAGGGGGAGCGGCGCCGCTCCTGCAATGCCTCGAGCGCGGAGCAGGGGGCGCCCTCCGGGCCCGCAGGAGGCGACGGCTTCCTGGGGAGGAGCTGCGCCGGCGGAGGCTGCAGCGGCGGCCTCGGGACGAGCCGCGCTGCCGGAGGGTGCGGCGTCTGCGACTGCCTGGCCAGGAGCCGCGCCGGCGGAGGCTGCAGCGGCTGCCCCGGGACGAGCCGCGCTGCCGGAGGGTGCGGCGTCTGCCTGGCGAGGGGCCGCGTCGGCGACTGCGTGGGCAGGAGCCGCGCCCCCTCCTGTCGGTCGCCGCCCTCCACCCGCCCACTGCGTCCGGAGGGGCTGCGCCCCCGCTGCTCCTGCCCTCTGCGCCTGGGACGGCTGCGCCCCCGCTGCTGCAAGGGCACTGTCCTCTTTCGGTCTCTGCTCCTCTGCTCCCGCCCTCTGCGTCTGGAACGGCTGCGCCCCCGCTGCTGCGAGGGCTCCGTCCTCTTTGGGGTTCTGCTCCTGCTCTCGCTCTTCTTCTTATTATTATTCTTCTCCTTCTCCTTCTTCTCCTTCTTCTCCTTCTTCTCCTTCCTCTCACCTCTGTCAGGGTTCCTCGTTTCGTCCTGGGGCGGCGCGGGGCTGCAGGCGTCGACGGCGTCGCGCCCGTCGTCCTCAAGCTCCTCCTGGGCTCCGCGCGCCCCCGCTGCTGCGGAGGCTGCTGCTTCGGGTTCTGTCTCCGCCTCCTTTCCCCGCCGTTTTCCCCACCTTTTCCCCACACCAGAAAGCACAGACTCGCGTGACGCACCCGCACTACATCGTGATTCTGGGCCCCGCTCAGGTTCGCGAGTGCCCTGCGAGCGAGCAGCCGGAACTGCCGTCCTGGGGGAAACTGGCGTTGCAGCCTCCGCAGCAGCGGGAGCTCCTGAACAGGCTGCAGCACCGCCAGTTGGATTGGGCGGCGCGTCCGACCTGGGTCAGGCTGACGGACGCGGAGCGCAAGGAGCAGGGGACATACTTCTGGCCGCACTTACACAGGGTGATCTTCAAGGCCCAGTCGGCGAACCGCCTCACGGAACGCTGCCACACACTGTTCGTTTTCATAGAAGCCAAGAACAGGAAGTCTGGCAAAGGCGCCGAGGGCAGGAAAAAGGATTGGAAGTGGGAAGCCAGGTGGGGAAAACGGCGGGGAAAGGAGGCGGAGACAGAACCCGAAACAGCAGCCTCCGCAGCAGCGGGGGCGCACGGAGCCCAGGAGGAGCTTGAGGACGACGGGCGCGATGCCGTCGACGCCTGCAGCCCCGCGCCGCCCCAGGACGAAACGAGGAACCCTGACACAGGTGAGAGGAAGGAGAAAAAGGAGAAGAAGGAGAAGGAGAAGAAAAAGAAGACGAAGAAAAGCGAGAGCAGGAGCAGAACCCCAAAGAGGACGGATCGTGCCTCAGCCTCCAGCTTGCACAAGTGCTCGACGTCTGTCTTAGGCCGCTCCGCCAGCTCATGATTTGTCCCGAGCGCCGCGAGCACTTTGCCCAGGCCGTCCAGCGTGACAGAGCGGTCCATGATCGGCTCGTCGGCGGCAGGCTGCCCGGTAAAGCCCTGAGGTGGAACTGGTACTTCACGCTGGAGCTCGCGCTGCAGCTCTTGCAACTCCGCCATCTGCTTGTCGATCTCCCCCAACTGCTTGGCGACGGCGTCCTCCTGCTCTCGAAGCTGCGCCTTCCGCTCGCGGAGGTTGCCCCGCTTCCGCTCCTGGTCTTTGCGTAGCTTCTCTTGTCGTGCGATCTGCGCTCCCAGGTCGCGGAGCCGCTGCCCCAACGGCCTGGTTCCAGACGCAGAGGGCGGGAGCAGAGGAGCAGAGACCGAAAGAGGACAGTGCCCTCGCAGCAGACGCAAAGATGATGAGCGCAGTGGTAGCATGACATATCCGAAATCAAGAAGCAGGATGAGGAGGAACGGGATGACGAGCAACTCTGTCACAGAGGGCCTCCGAACGCACCCCCTCTGTCACAGAGGGGCAACATGATCACTTTAATGCGGCTTTTGGATTACCCTTCCCTCCTCTGAGGTCTCCCGAACGTGTCAGCGGAGGAGGGAGGAGGAGGAGCAGGAGGCGGAGAGGAGGAAGCAGGGGGAGAGGAGGGATGAGGAGGGGAATGAGGAGGCGAAAAAAAGGGAGGAGGAGGAGGAAGAGGAGGAGGAGGAGGACGAAGGGGATAACGGTATGTATGCTTTTCCTCCTCTCAGGACCCGTGTCTGTGCACGGTTGCCGCCGTCCGAAGTATTGGTATTGCGCGGCTATACCGCGGCCCAGGGCGCACCACGGGCCGAAGGACCGCCAGAAGGAAGCGGGCGGCCAGGCCATGGACGGCCGTCGCCACGCGCCAAACTGCTGGTATTGCTGGCGACTCCTCCTCCTCCTCCTCCTCCTCCTCCTCCTCCTCCTCACTGGGCCTCTGTAGGGCCTCCTCGTCGCCGCGGCCGGGCGCGGCCAGAAGAACTGTTCCTAATTAGGATGGGGCCCAGGGTCCAGGTGCAGCTTCTTTCTGAGCGAGCTCTGCCCATCGGGGGCGACGATTGGGGCGAATAGCCTAGGGGAGAGCAATCCATGTACTCCAGATTTCGTAATAAAGGGAGGGGGGTCTCATTTCGGGGGGGGGTCTCTTCCAGGCCATCTTGGAGGGCCTGGGGGGGTCTGGGGACGAAGTTTTGGAGGGTTCTCCCACGGGGGGGGGGGTCTGAAATGGCTTGTCTTGGAGGGTCCAGACCCTCTCCCTTTTATTACGAAATCTGGAGTATCCAGGGGCGTCGACAATCCATGCCTTCGACGAGGCCCCCGGGCGCATGCGTGGAGTGCCCGCCCCTGGCTGCTTGCCCCTGCCGCCGCCTCCGAGCGCACACCCCTGTGCGCGTGGAGACCTCCTCCTCCTCCTCCTCCGCCTCCTCCTCCTCCTCCTCCTCCTCCTCCTCCTCCTCCTCCTCCCCCTCCTCCTCCTCCTCCGCCTCCTCCTCCTCCTCCTCCTGCTCCTGTCCCAGCGGTCGGCTTGCCTGACAGGGTCCCCATGCGGGGTGAGGCCCCCGGAAACGGGCTCGGCGGCGAGCGAGGGAAATGAGGAGAAGGCCTTCTCAGAAGGCGGCGGGACTTCTCAGAGGCCCTCGCGCCTCCTGGCTTAGAAGTTTTTCCAGCACATCCTGTGATGATGGGCCCCGCTTTCCTCCTCCTCTCCTCTCCTCTCCTCTCCTCTCCCCTCCCTTCCCTCCGCTCCGCTCCGCTCCGCTCCGCTCCGCTCCGCTCCTCTCCTCTCCTCTCCTCTCCTCTCCTCGCCTCTCCTCTCTCCTCCTCCTCTCCTCTCTCCTCTCCCTCTCTCCTCCTCCTCCTCCTCCACCTCCACTCCACCTCCACCTCTCCTCCTCCTCCTCCTCCTCCTCCTCCTCCTCCTCCTCCTCCTCCTCCTCCTCCTCCCTCCTCAACAATTCGCATGCGGTTCCCCCACCCAGTACAGCGTTCCGTGGCCCCAGAGGGAGCTGCACCGAAGGTCCCAGTGGCGCAGTCCGCATGCGGATCCTGCGCCAAGTACGGCGTTTCGGGGTTCTTAGAGGGTTCCACAGAAGGTCCCATTGGCGCAGTCCGCATGCGGTTCTTGCGCCCAGTGCAACGTTTCGTGGTCCCAGAGGGAGCTCCACCGAAAATCCAAGTGGCGCAGTCCGCATGCGGTTCCTGCATTCCTCCTCCTCCTCCTCCTCCCTCTCCCTCCTCCTCCTCCTCCTCCTCCTCCCATCCTCCTCCCTCCTCCTCCTCCTCCTCCCTTCCTCCCTTCCTCCCTCCTCCCTTCCTCCCTTCCTCCCTTCCTCCTTCTCCTTTTCCTCCTCCTTCTCCTCCTCCTCCTTCTCCTCCTTCTCCTCCTCCTCTTCCTCCTTCTCCTCCTCTCCTCCTCCCCTCCTCCCTCTCCTCCTCTCCTCCTCCTCCTCCTCCTCCTCCTCCTCGCTCCTCATCCCCTCCTCCTCCTCCTCCTCTTCTTCTGATTATTCTTATTATTATTCTTCTTATGTTCCTTATTATTATTCTTCTTCTTCGTCCTCCTCCTCCTCCTCCTTCTCCGCCTCCTCCGCCTCCTCCTCCTCCTCCTCCGCCTCCTCTCCTCTTCTCCTTCTCCGCCTCCTCCTCCTCCCTCCTCCTCCCTCCTCCTCCTCCTCCTCCTCCTCCTCCTCCTCCTCCTCCTCCTCCTCCTCCTCCTCCTCCTCCTCCTCCTCTCCTCCTCCCCCCTCCTCCTCCGCCTCCCTCCCTCCTCCTCCTCCCTCCTCCTCCTCCTCCTCCTCCTCCTCCTCCTCCTCCTCCTCCTCCTCCTCCTCCTCCTCCTCGCTCCTCGCTCTCGCTCCTCGCTCCTCGCTCCTCGCTCCTCGCTCCTCGCTTCCTCGCTCCTCGCTCTCCTCCTCCTCTCCTCCTCCTCCTCCTCCTCTCTCCTCCTCCCCCTCCTCCTCCTCCTCCCCCTCCGCCTCCGCCTCCTCCTCCTCCTCCGCCTCCTCCTCCTCCTCCTCCTCCTCCTCCTCCTCCTCCTCCTCCTCCTCTGATGTCCCTCCTCCACTGCAGCGAGGGGGGCGCGAGGCCCGCGCCTCAGGACCGCCAGAGCCTGCGACGCGCGGTGGGCCCCGCCTCTCGGGGCCGCGCCCACCGCCGCGCGAGGCGCGGGGGGGGAGGCGCCGAGGCGACGGCCACCGCCGCGGGCCGAGGCGCCGAGCGCGTCGGTGCACCAGGAGCGAGCACGGGAGCGAGCCACGAGCACGGGGGGTGCAGTGGAGGCCAGGGCCTCGACCAGTAAGCAACGCTGGTCGATCTCGTCGTGTTTGCGCTGTCCCTCGTGCTGTCTTCCATCCACCATTGCCGCACAGCGAGGTCGACGCGAAAACGGACCGCGAAATCGCCGCGGGCCGCAGGCCGAGGCGCCGAGCGCGTGGGTGCCCTTGGGCGAGCACGTGAGCGAACCACGAGCACGGACCGGGGCGCGACCGAGGACCGAGGCTTGACCGAGGGTCGATCGAGGACCGAGGGTCGATCGGGGATCGAGGCACGACCGAAGGCGGAGGCCTCGGGCCGTTCGAGGTTCGAGGCTCTGGGCTCGCAGCTGTCTCGAATCCAAGGTGGAGGCCTCGAGGCTTCAGGATCCAGAATACATGATAAAATGAAGGCCAGTCCACGGGGAGGCCCATAGAAGGGGGAGGGAGTAAAGGAAGAAAGAACTGCATAAACATAAACCTTAGAGCTGCGCCAGGGGCGGCGCCAAAAACGCCGCCTGCGGGGCCCAGCGCGGATCCGAAAAAGCAGAGCGGATCGCCAAACGTTTGTGTTTACAGTGGAGGACAGTCCACAAGGAACTTTCCCCAACAAGCGCAACCTTGAGACCCCAGGACGTCCATCTGATTTTTGGTGTGGGGGAGCGTCGCGCTTCCCATGGCAAAGCCATCGAAACCCAAGGAATCCTCAGGGCACTCTGGAGGCAAGCAGGATGCTTCTTGGCATGGGCTCCCGTTGTGCGAGGATCGAGGAGAAGGTTCGGGCATCATTGAGGATGGAGCTCTGCTGACCGTTTGTTTGCGCGCAGCAGGCCCTCTGGCGTCCTGGCCTCCCCCCCCCCTTCGCTGTCCGGCGTTGCGGTTCGTCGCTCGTTCGGGCTGGGGCGCAGAACGCGTCGGTGCATGAAGGACCCACACGCAGAGGGGGGAGGGGGGAGGGGGGAAGGGGGGAGGATGGAGGGGCCCACACGCAGAGGGGGGAGGGGGGAGGGGGAGAGAGGTGAGGAGGGAGGAGGGGGAGGGAAAGGGGGGGGTAGGGGGGAGGAGGGGGGGGAGGAGGGAGGACGGGAGGACGGGAGGAGGGGAGGAGGGGGAAGGGGGAGGATGGAGGGCAGGCTGCGGTCGAAACGTGGCCACGAGAGCGCGGACCAAGAACACAGGCCCCTTCGCCCGCGGTCCGGGGCTGCCTCGAGCGAGGCCCGTCCTGTGGGTGGAGAGCTCCACTGGGCAAAACGTAGGGGCACGCTGGGTTTCTTAGTAAGCTTGGGGAGGGGGGTACACGTCGGTCGGAAGAGGTGGGTAGAAACATGCAGTAGGAAGGCGGATTATGTGGATTGGGTCCAGGCCCCCCCAGGGAATAACAACACACAGCAAAAGCGCGCCGATTCTTGAAGTAGGAAGGCGATTGAAGTAGATTGGGATCTGGGAATCCAAAAATGCATACTTTCAGCGACCGGCGTGTAAATTTGGGGACGGGGGGTACCCCCCCAAACGGGGTCAACTTCGCGTCGTCGGCGCGCCGCGACGGGGGTCGGAGCGCCTTCGGCGCGCGGCTGCTGCCCGCGACGGGGGTCGATGTGAGGCTGTCGGCGGGGGTGACGCCCCCCCGACGCTTATTAAGAAACTCGGAGCATCCCATCGAATACCAGGGTTGTTTGTAACCCTCTTGCCAGCTGCAAACGCCCACCTATCAAGCATCCCATATACGCGAGGCCCCTTGGTAAACGCACCCGAACCTGATTCGTAAACGCCAGTTATGGGGGTCGGAGTGCATTTTCCTTTGTTAGAGGTGTCATGAGCGACGAACATATCCATGCACTCGTGGATCCCTCATTTACCCATCCGCCTTCAGCGATAGTCGGCGAGGGATCGGCGCCTCCGTATCCAGACGATCCTCCACCTTCCACAGAAGAGAAGTGCAACAACCTGTTCTTGTGCGCGAGCGCCGCGTCGTCTACGCGGGCTCTGAGAGTGCCATCGGGGATTTTCTGCAACAGCGTGCGAATGAGCAGGTTCGAAGCCACCGCAAGCAAGAGGGGAGAGAGCGAGTTGCCCTGCCGGATGCCCCCGGTGATATCGAAACCCCGGTGCCTTGCGCCGCCCGACGTGATGGCGCGCCGATTCCGCGTGCGCAGGACATCGACAAAGTTGAGCAGCCACGGGGGCAAGCCGAGCTTCGTGAATATCATGTCCACGAAGCGGTGGTCGATGGATGGGGAACGCCGCCGAAGTCGAAGAACATGCCCGCGGCGTCCTCGGACTCGCAAGCGCTCAAAGCCATCGCCTCCGCTACGTCCATCAAGGTGGCCAGGAGGGAGCGGCCGCCAATGAAGCCGCGTTGGAACTGGGACACTCCGGGGGTTTTTCGATTGCCATCCGGGCGGCGTTCGAAAGCAGGCGGTTGTCCGTGTTCGTGACATTTAATGAGCGGACGTTCGCGGGCTCGTAGAACCCCTCCCCTGCGGGGCAGGTGCCCGACGGCTTCTCCGGGGGGAAGTACACGAGACTGACAGTAATGTCCTCGCAGGGCGCGTTTACGAGGTCCGCGCTCTGTCGGTCGCTTCATAATGCTTGAGCTGCATCGTATAGAGCGCGTCCATGGAGAGGGCCAGCGCGGGGCCATGCTGGGGGAAAGATCATGTCGGGGCCCGGGGCGGTGTTCTTCGAGTTCAGGATGACGTAGCGCACGTGTTTTTTTCCTCAGCCGAAACTCCACGGGGAGGAAAGATTGCGACTCGCATTACAGCTTGTTTTTGATGTCGTCGTCGGGTCACTTGGCCAACAGCTCTTCGTCGAGTCCGCGGGCCTTGAACATATTCGACCAATGTGCGCGGCGGGCGGCGGCCATCCTGTCTGCGATGACCTGGGCGCCCCCTCTTGAGCCCAAGACGGCGCCGACGCAGCGCGAGCGGCCCGGGGTGGCCCTGTAGATGACTCTCGCGTTCCGCTGTCTGACTTGCAACGCGCTCTTGGTGTTACCAGAAGTCGAATATTTGATGGACTTGCCGAACTCATCGAGGACGTGGCCCCGGGCCAACTGAATCCCGTGGTCCTGGCTGGTCGTAGATGGCGGGAATTGTTCCGGTCGAGAGCGCAAGGGTTGCCCGGGGTGTCCTCGAAGGGCGGGCGCCGCAGCAAACGCTCCGAGATGCATTTCGCGAAGCCGCGCTCCATCCACAACGCGGATGAACTTGATGGCGGCCCCGATCCGGCTCGCGAGGCTGGGCGCGGGCGCCCGCGAGTGGAACTCCTTCTCGACGTTGGCGGCGACCGTTTTCACGCAGCGTTTGATGTGTTGGAGCTTCCTGAAGGCATTTGGGATCAGGAAGAGCCCGGCCGACTCGCGGCGTTCCAGTGCCAGGCTGCGCGGAATATCATGGTGCGAAAGGGCCCTCCTAGACACCCCCCCCGCCCCCCGGTAGCTTCTGCGGGGCGCGCCGCGGGGGCGGCGCAGCGCGGCGGCGGGAAACGTCGGGCTGCCACTCGAGCGCCGAGGATCGGACGTGGCAGTCTGGCTCTCCCGAGGCGTGCTGGTTGCAGTGCGGCCCAGGCGAGACCGCGAGTTGCTGGGCGCGCGCGCAGTCGCCCTGGCGCGTGTCCGCCGCGCCAAACTTCCACCGCGCGTGTCTTCTGAACATGCTTCTCTTCGCTTTGATTTATGCGACCAATGGCCTGCGCCGACGTCAAGGAGGCCCACTCGCTAATGGAGGCCCCGAACTTGAGCCCCCACCGATAACAGTGAGCGCGTCATCTTGCTTCGAAAGTTTGTCGGGGATGCGGGAACGCAGGGGGCGGCGAAGCTGATAGAAGGAAGTGATGGGCGGCGTCTAATACTCTGGGGCCCCACTCATGTCGCGCTCGGACCGCGTTCTCGGCGAGCCCGCGTGAAAGTGTCCAACAACACCGCCCAGGGCACCTGGGGGGGGGGGCCGAAGGCGAAGAACGGCCACGCGGCCGCGCCAAATGTGGACGAACTCGGGGTTCGGCTCGGACTTCTGGAAGAAAACGTCTTCGATGATGAGGCCGGCTCCCGCGTGTCCCAGCGTCGGCCCCTGCGACCGCCGCGACGTGGTGTTCGGCAGTCTATGCCGCGTGGAGTTCGAGATCTCCGAGCCGTGGGCCGGCCTTTGCGATCATGCCAATGTTTGCCTTGTGCACGGGCCTGCGCGTTCCGCGCAATCGCCGAAGGCCCTCCGTGAATGGGCCCGCGCGGCGGCCAGCCGATGGAGATTGCACCTCCGGCGGTGCGCGGGGCAGCGACGGGGGGGCGGCGTCGGGGCCGACGGCGCCGAGTGCACGGGGGGGCCGGAGGCGTCGAAAGGCGCAGGCGGGCGCGCCCCTGGCGCGCGCGTTCTCGGGGGAAGCCAAGTCGCACTCATTGAAAGTCAGCGGCGGGGGCAAAGGCAACGCGCGGCCGTTGAGATCGACGGCCCCGCGGGAGGGGGAGCGAGAATGGCGCGTAGATAACGTCGGGGAACGGCTCGAGGTGAGCGGTCCAATCGCAAGAGGCTCGACGAGGCCAAGGCGTCGCGGAGGCGAAAGACGACCCGCGCGGCATAGCCCGACAAACCCATGCATTAATGAAACGAATGCCAAAATCGCAGTCGGGCTGCGACGGATGTCCTGGCCGACCCCGGGCGCGGCGGACACCTAGCTCCGCGCCCTCGCGCCGTTTCCCAGCCCGTGCGTGGTCAGCGCGAAGTCGCCCATGACTTCGACGCCGACGAGGCCCCTGCCCACCTGGGCGGCTTGGCCGTGGAGTGCCACATAGAGCTTGCGAGGGTCCCCATGGTTCTTGGCGAGCGCCCTGACTGCGCCAGAGGGCGCGCGCGCGCCTTCTGCGAGGCCAAATGGCAGCGTTCCCCTGACCAGGGCGCGTCGGGGTTGGAGGCCTCGGTGAACTGAGCACCCGTGGCCCGGCAGACGTGGCCCATCCGGAGCTTCAGCGCGGCCGCGTCGCCCTTGCCCGGCTCGCCCTTCACGGCGATCTGCTCAGAG